AGGAAGCAGAGGAAGCAGCTTCCCCCACGGCCCTGCTGGTTCCTGCAGCTGGGAGAGCTGGGGGAGCTGGAGGAGGAGAAGAGATGCTCAGCAGAAGTCCCCCTGCCACCTCTCCCCAGCGCCCAGCCACCAGGTTCCCGCCCCCACCCCTCGGCCTGGCAATGGGAAGCAGCAGCCCTGGTCCTGGGAGAAGCTCTCCTGTGCCCAGGCACCGCGGGAGGACTCTGGCTATTCACACCCCATCACCTACTACCACGAGTGGGGAGCTTGAGGGGCCACGTACCCACTGAGGTTTGGGTCCTGAGACCAGCACACGCGGCTTAGCCGGGCTAGCAGGGCTTGGCAACGGCATCCTTACACCTCAAGGCTCTGGAAAGGGCCCAGGTGCCCCGAGTGGTCACACGGGGCCTACCCCCTACTCTATTTCCTTATCCTATATATCTATATAATATGCAAGGTATCTATATCTAACTATGATCTAAACAATGTCTATCTAATTAATATCTACTATGCTAACTGCCTATATCTGCTCTGCTAACTCTCTACTGAATCGAAAACTACGTAACGCCACAAGCCACGCTGGTGAGTCGCCTGGCTAAGCCGAGCCTGACCAGGCGGAACCCGGCGCTGGTATTTATACCCTGCTCCCCCCGGTCTCCATGGTGATGGAATGACACAGTGTGACATCACAAAGCTGTGTCCTGTGCTGTACCTGGCAGTTGGAGACGGGCCCTGGGCTGGATCCTGCCCCCCCCCCGGCCTCTGCTGGGCCCGTGGTATCCAAGCAGCATCTGATTCTGCCCCAAACCATTCATGCCAAGGGGGTCCTTCGCCTCCTCTCCATCTGGCGCAGCCCTGGCTCCTGCTACACAAGGCCAGGGAGGAGCTGGTTAAAATGCACTCAGGAGCCCCCAGGAAGAGGCCCAATTCCCACAGCAAAGGAAGCCATGGCAACATCAGAGACACAGAATCATAGAAAACGAGGTGGGGAGGGACCTCAGGAGGCCACATCTAGTCCAACCCCTGCTCCAAGCAAGACCCGCCCCAACTACATCATCCCAGCCAAGGCTTTGTCGAGCCAGATCTTAAACACCTCCAAGGATGGAGAGTCCACCACCTCTCTGGATAGCTTGTTCCAGTGCTTCACCACCCTCCCAGTGAGAAAGTTCATCTAATATCCAACCACAATTTCCCTTGCTGCAACTTGAGCCCATTGCTCCTTGTTCTGTCACCTGCCACCACTGAGAACAGTCCAGCTCCACCTTCTTTGCAAGCCCTCCGCAGGGAGTCAAAGGCTGCTATCAAATCCCACCTTGTCTTCTCTTCTCTAGACCAAATAAGACCAGCTCCCTCAGCCTCTCCTCATAAGTTATGTCCCCCAGTTCCCCCAACCATTTTTGTTGCCCTCCACTGGGCTCTCTCCAACTTGTCCACATCCTTTCTGTAGTGGGGGCCCAAAACTGGACACAGGACTCCAGATGTGGCCTCCCCAGTGCTGATCTGTGCGGTTAATGCACCACCTGGGAAACAGGGTTGCATTTTGGGTGTTGAAATGCACTGGTTCCTGGAAAACAAGGTTCCTTGTGTACATCCGATATCTTCTTTTAAACCAACTAAAATGCACTTTTCTGTTACACTCCTGTATGTCATTAGACGTGACTTTATTTTTTTAGGTCTGGAAGGGACCTCTGAAGATCATCGAGTCCAGCCCCCCGCCCGAAGAGCAGGAAGTCAGCTGGGGTCATAGGATCCCAGCAAGATAAGCATCCAATTTTCTCTTGAAGGTGTTCAATGTAGGTGCTTGAACCACCACCGATGGCAGGCTAGTTCAGACCTTGGGGGCTCGGACAGTAAAGAAATTCTTCCTTATGTCCAGCCTGAAATGGTCTTGCAGCAGTTTATAACCGTTCGACCTCATCTTCCCTTGGGGCGCTCTGGTGAACAAACGTTCCCCCAGATACTGGTAAGCACCCCTGATAAACTTATAGGTGGCCATCAGATCACCCCTGAGCCTGCACTTTTCCAGGCTGAAGAGCCCCATAGCTCTCAGCCTGTTGTTGTAAGGTCTGTTTTCCTGACCTCTGATCATGTGCTTGGCTCTCCTCGGCACTTTCTCAAGCTTCTCCACATCCTTTTTGAACTGTGGGGCCCAAAACTGGATGCAGTACTCCAGCTGCGGCCTCACCAAGGTTGAGTATAAGGAGAGAATGATGTCCTGGGATTTGCTTGAGAAGTATCTAGGGATGCAAGCCAGTGTTTTGGTCACTTTACTAGCCACAGCATCGCATTGCAGGCTCATGTTCATCTTGTGGTCAATGATGACCCCCAAGTCTCTTTCTTCCATAGTGCTAGCCAGTGTAGCACTCCCGATCCTATAAGGATGCTGCAGGTTTTTCCTCCCAAGGTGGAGAACCTTGCATTTTTCAGTGTTAAACACCATCAGGTTCT